ATGATGATGATGATGATGATGATGATGATGATGATGATGATGATGATGATGATGATGATGATGAAACAACTGCTCCAGTGACTGTCTCTGGAAATGTTGCTTAGGATGATGACCATGACAGCAACAAAGATAGACCTCAAAAGAAAAAAAATGAGAGCTTTACGGCACTAGAAACACTATAGGAGGTTCATATAGGAGCCAACAATTAGAGGTATAGCAAGGGAGTTACATACGCAAAAGAAACGGAGGAGAGATAAGGATGATATATGTTTTTAAAGTGAAACAAAACGAACAAACAAACGAACAAACAAACAAACACACAACAAGCCAGAGCTCACCTCTCCCCATGCACCGGCCTGCCACTCACAAGAGAGAAGGAGGAGAGATACGGACGATAGATATTTTTAAAGTAAAAGAGAACAAACGAACGAACAAACGAACAAACAAACAAACACACAACAAGGCAGAGCTCACCTCTCCCCATGTGCCTGCCTGCCACTCGGAGCAGAGTCCCTTCTCACACTGTTGAGCCACCGCAGGCTTCTCGGCCAGGCCGCACTGGTCAGCTGACACCCGGAGGACGAGGGAGGGCGAGAACCTCTGGCGACACTCCACCGTGCGGGTCTGGGTGCCAGAACCACACGTCACACTGCACTCGGACCAGTCTTCAGCTTCCCACCTGAAGGCAGCATTAGAAGAGCACAGTGGAAAAATAGATCACAGTCACACGACCGGTTATATTGATAAAATCTGATTTTATAAACTTAGTTACATTTCCAGATATAGAGAAATTCTAATTTATATTATAGTGTGTCTAAATATGTCTGCTAGGATGCTACTAAGTGCGGATTGGCCCTAACAGCAATCCACTTCTGAAAAAGCATAAATTGCAATGGTTAGAGCATAAAATGATAACAATCACATACAATCACCGCCTCAGTGACCACTAAACTCTTCACTTTGAAAGGAGAGCAATTGATTTTCCGGAGGGATTCGAAAAACGGAGTATAGAGGATCTAATCCTGATTAAACACTTCGACCAGTCTTCAGCTCACATCACGTACCAGACGACGTTCCACTCACATGCTACGTGTGAGTAAATTTATCTTTCGCTTTCGTGGACGTTCATGGTTCATCTATTCATTGATTGTGTCTTTTTGAACGCAGGGCACTTGGTTTCTCCCACATGACCCCAAGATAAGGGAAATTACACTAGGAGCGACACAGACAATTCAGACTTTGCCTAGATCTGAAACTCTAACTTCTGCGCCTTAATCATGTCCATAACCATTTGCTCAATAGAAAGATACCAAAAAGTATAACATTTGAGAGTGGAAATAATAGGACTCAGCGCTACCCCCAAGTCCTGTCAGCTTCGCTTAGTCTGAAATGATGGAAAACAGTTTTTGCGCCAACTTGTTCGAAACGTGATCAAAGTGTCAAAGCCATTTCAAGCTGAGTTGAACCTACAGGAGATGAATTTGGGGGGGTATTGTGATTTAGAGGCACGGTGTTTGCCTCTTATTCAATAGATCCAGGGTTCGAAACCTGAGAGCGACAGAAAATTTTCTTCTAAAGATTTTCCTCCTTTCACCTCCTTTCCTGCTCTCTAATCATGTTTTGTCATCTGCATTCATCTCCATCTTCTGCCTCCCGCTCTCCCCCCCCCTCCTCTGGGGCCCTGACTTTTTTACTTGCACTCATGTTTCCTTGTTACCGTCTTTCAGCCGCATCCCTAATCTTTGGGTTGGGTAGGTTAAATCTAACACCTAACCTTCTTGGATAAGGGCGAAAAGTCTCGGAGATCCCGAGCGCAAGTTGCGCACATTAAAGATCCTTTGAAGGTCCTAAAATCAATAAGAGTAGGTTTCGACCGCTACCCTGACGAAATTCAAAACTAATTTCTGCCAAAAACTGAAAATGCTTGTGTCCCGCGCGCTCATATTAGATCTATGACCTTATGTAGCTGTGAGCGCCGTAAAACAAAATCAAGTAGATAAATCTGAATTTTGAACGGTCGCCTCAAATTTACTTTGACTGCGTTGAAATGGGTGTTAAACCAGTACCATTCTGAACAACCAATATTATTATATCGTAACTTACGCAGGTTCGCATGGCTGAGAGTTGCACTCAACAGTTTGCGTCCGAGGCTTGAGCGAGTTTGCACAGTTTTCCGGCGTAACGACCACCTGTGTGCGAGATGATTTGGACACGCAGACGACATTGGTTCTCTGCACACCTGGAATAACAAGATTTGTCCAAGGTTCATGATGGATGGATGCACATTAGTCACATGAACCCAAGCTGCTTTGCTTCACTAATTTTGACACGGAAGTCCATTAGGGTCTATACCGTATACCATTAGGACGCCAACCAAAGATCTGAATGCGCAATGCACGGCAACATTCTGATTGGTTATTTTCATCAAACATATCAAAACTGACACAACCGATGATGACTTTCAATAACAAAGGCGTTTGTTTTCAAGGCTGCGAGTCGGGTGATAGGTTTGGGCAGTTTGTCTGTTTATAATTTATAGTGTGCACCGAAGCCGCCAGAAACCGAACTGAAACGATCTGATCCTTTTATAGGCACCGCTCAGCATAATAGGTTGGAAACACACACACACACACACACACACACACACACACACACACACACACACACAGACTAATGGATGTACGCCAGCAACATGCTAGTAGGCCTGGCTCTATCACAACAGACTGTTTGGCTTATCTCTTATTATCTTCTTATAACAATAGTGTACTCACCTCGTCCACAAGTCTTTGAGCACTCGGTGAGACCGGAGATTTTCCATTTGTACGAGCTGCCCCCCACGTTTCTGCCCTGTCCTGCAGGTAGGGGTCTCGTAATGGTACTGAGCGTGTTGCTGTTTGGTTTTACCTACAACCATAGCGTCAAAGAAAGTTGTCAATTAATCAAATAGAAAAGGCAGTTTCATTTTCAGGAATGTGGTAAAGAAGTGTAGAGATCAAAGGCATGGAAAGGATAATTGCAAAGAGGAAAAGAGCGGAGAGCGAGAGAGTGAGAGCGAGAGCGAGAGTGAGTGGGAGAGAGAGAGAGAGAGAGAGAGAGAGAGAGAGAGAGAGAGAGAGAGAGAGAGAGAGTGAACAGAGA